ACCACTCGATCAAAAAAAAAAAAAAGAGCTGGTTATCTATCTTCCAACAAAGTTCCGTGTTTCGTTACTCTTCTCTACCAGACATTCTCTGGCTCAGAATCTTCGCCATGAAAACGTAAAGAAGGAACAAAGAACGAGCTCTCAAATCCAGCAGCAATGGCTTTTCTTCTTCCCAATCTATCTCCCTCAATCTTTCTCCAAACCGGAAAATCCCCAATCCTTAAACCCATTTTCAATCAATCTCTATCTTCCTCGTCTTTTTCTTCCTCTTCTATTAGCTACGAATTTGAGGAAGAGAATCTCTCTACACTCTCTCTTTCTAGTATACAGTCTCCTCCTCTTCGAGACGCGCAGGTTAAGACAAGACAAAGTGCGCAGGATAAACATAAACACGACAGAGATGAGTTCTACATCAATCTCGGTGTCGCTGTCCGTACACTCCGTGAAGATTTGCCTTTGCTCTTCACTAGAGATCTCAATTACGACATCTACAGGTTATTTTTCTCATCTGGGTATTTGATATTTGAATGATAATTGATGAAAAGACGAATCTTTGGATGCAAAATCTATAGAAATTTATCATCTGGGTACAAAAAAAGAGATCTTTCCTTTGATCTCTGTTTATTGAATGTTTTTGCAGGGATGATGTAACATTTGTGGATCCGTTGAACACATTCAGTGGGATTGAGAACTACAAATTGATCTTTTGGGCACTTAGATTTCATGGGAAGATATTGTTCAGAGATATCTCACTTGAGATCTTCAGGGTATGGCAACCATCAGAGAACATGATTCTGATCAGGTGGAATCTCAAAGGTGTGCCTAGAGTTCCATGGGAAGCTAAAGGAGAGTTTCAAGGGACTTCTCGGTATAAACTCGACCGTAATGGCAAAATCTATGAGCATAAAGTCGATAACTTTGCCTTCAATTTCCCTCATCAGCTCAAACCCGCAGTTTCGGTTTTGGATTTGGTTACGGCCTCTACTGCAAGCACTCCCAATCCAACCTTCTTTTTCGGTCCTGTAGACTCGTATTCGTCTTCATGGATTGAGTTCTATCAAGCGGTGAGACGGACATTGAACCAGACAGAGGATCTGCTTGTGATAGATAGTTTAGTCACATGCTCATAGTGGAAGTAGAGTTGCTAT